AAGCGGGCGGTGCGCCTCCCGCGGGCCCGAGCGCCGGCGGGCTCCCGAGGGCGGCGCGTTCACGAAGAGGACGGGGGGAACGTTCGCGTCGGGCTTCGCCTGGGGGGGGCGCCATGCTCGGGGGGGGCGTACAGTCGGGGCGTTGACCTGAGGAGCCCTAAATAAGGAACGAGGCCCTTTTTTTCCCAGAAGTTAAACTTCGATTTGCCATTGAAAACCTAAGGAAAACCCAAGGCAAACTGTAGAACAATCAAGGAACACCGAGCCCCTCCCCAACGAAAAGGGTTCCTTCGTCAGGGCCCCGGCTGTAGGGGTGGGGCAAGAAGGGGGGGGGGCTTGTGGTACGGCGGCCGGCTGCGGAGGGCCGGCGGGGAAGCCCAGGCTGCCGCCCCGATGCTCTCGCAGCAGGGCGCGAGCCGGCCTGCTGCTTCGGCGGCACCCCACCGGCAGGACAGCGGGCAGAGGCGGGGCAAGAGGAAGATCGCTGAACACGGCCCGTGCAAGACGGACGCGTGGGTGTCCAGCTAGGTGTGCTCCCTGACCCCACCTTGGGCCCCCCCCCCCTCCACGACCCCCCCGGACACGAGGACGGCAGCGCGGAGCTCCGACATGCCCCAGCACGCCTCCTCGATCCCGGGCCCTCGGGCCAGCCGCCACTCCGCGCGGCCCCTCTGCACGCCCCTGCATGCCCGCTCGCCCGCGTAGACCTCTTGAGCCCCCGTGCCGATCCCGCTGACCGCACCTCCCCAGCAGCCGTCGCTCCGGCGCGGCCCTCGCCCTCCTATGCCCCTCTCACAGCGGCCCCCCCGTCCCCCTCTCCACCTGCTCCTGCTCCTGCTCTGGCCGCTCCGTGGAGTATTGACCAACGAGCCATGCTGCTCCTTGTTTCGCTCCCCTCCTTCCTGTCATGCTCCCTCATTCCTTCCCTCCTGTTCTTCCGATTCGCTGTCGCACTTTCGCCATCTGAACTTGTAACTGACCCTGTTCATATCTCCGATTCTCCTGCCTCCCAACCTGTTCCCCCCTGCCCCTCTCCCCCTCTGCCTCCTCCTCGTGCTGCTTGCTGGTCCTCCTCCTTTTCCTCCTCCTCCTCCTCCTCCTCCTCCTCCTCCTCCTCCTTGTCTCCTGTGATGAGGGAGGAGATATGAGGCATGGGCTGCCCAGACCTGCAGCAGCGGTGGGCGCGCGAGGGGGCCGTGTGCCAGAAGCCCAGGGGGTGGGTGGGCGTGTGAGAGACAGCGGGTGCCACGAGAGGGGCACTGGCCCCTCGGTGCCGCCCTAGAGCACGCGCGCGTGAGAGAAGGCCTCGAGGCCTCGAGGCTGAGCGTCCACGTTGGTGGGCCCAGCATGGCGCGGCACGGATGACGGCGGCGGCCGCCGCAGGCCTTCGGTGCAGCAGGAGCTCGACCACGAGAAACCTTCCACACGAAAGCCGCCCTTGAGACCCCAGGACGTGCATTTATTTTTGATGTGGGAGCGTCACGCTTTTCCTTGCAAAGCCATCAAGATCCACAAAAAGCCCAGGGCACCCTGGAGGCAAGCAGGGCGATTCTTGGCATGGGTTTCCATTGTGCAGGACCGAGGGGGGGCAGGCCAGGCTGAGGGCAGCGCCGACAGCGAGCTCTACCTGGGTCCCCCTGGGGGGGTATGGGTCTGGGCCGCGGGCTCCAGTTGCCCAGAGGAAGGGGGGAGAGGGGGGAGAGGGCAAGCTAGGCGCGCTCGCGTCATATCTGACGTCCTACCATACCATGGCGTAGATCTCCTCTCTATTCGCACAGTCGGATGTCGTAGCAGGGCATAGCAGTACATGGCGTAGCATGGTGTGGAAGATCAACGCGTAGCCTGACATAGCATGGCGTGGCGACGCCCCAAAGTGGTGGGGGGCTTCCGCGGCTTAAAAATCAGCGAATCAATACCGAATGTGTAATCACTTCCGATGGTTGTTTCGGGGGGGCTATTTTCTAAATTTTTGAGCCTATTTGGCAGGACCGAAAACCATGCCGTGGCATGGCGCTGGAAATAATGACGCCAGTGCTGCAGCGGGAGCACGATTCGGAACGAGCGGAAGCGCGGAAATGAGGCCAGCGCTGCAGCGGGAGCACGATTCGGAGGACGCGTAGCCTGACATAGCCTCTGCGGCTCAAACAATCAACGAATCGACACCCACCGAATATGTAACAACTTCTGATGGTTGTTGTCGAGGGGCCGTTTTCTAGATTTTGGGGCCTATTTGGAATGACCGAAAGGCCGTGGCATGGCGCTGGACATCATGACGCCAGTGCTGCAGCGGGAGCACGATTCGGAACGAGCGGTAGCCCGAAGATGAAGCCAGCGCTTCAGCGAGAGCAGCATTTCCAAAAAACCCAAGCGAAAATCTGTTTTCCCGGGAGTCCTGTGAAAAAAACTAATACGCGGAGGGGGGGGGGGCGAATTTTTCCCAGACGTCACCAAGAGAGAGAGGAGAGTAGTGTTCATATTGTGTAATTGTACAGAGGAACAA